TTCTCCACTAAGGGATACCTCAACTCGGCATTTTTCAGTACGTGACTGACAAAGTAGACCGGGAGCTGACAACCGTCTCTTTCAGCAACGAGAACAGCGCTTAACGCATGATCAGAGACGGCCAGGTACATGTAGAGTACTTCTTTGGGCAAAGGGCTGACCAGCCTCGGCAAGGAATGCACGTGAACTTTCAATTTCTGGAAGGCCGCCTCAGCATCCGGCCCCCATTCAAACCTTGCCTTTTTCTTAATTGCCTGGAAAAAGTATAGGCATTTGTCGCCTGATTGGCTTAGAAATCTTCCCAAGGCCGCCAGACAACCTGTTAACTTCTGAACCTCTCGGATGGTACGAGGCGACTGCATGTCGATGACCGCCTGCACTTTCTCAGGGTTCGCCTTTATTCCTCTCTGATTGATAAGGAATCCGAGAAAATTCCCAGACTCAACTCTAAAGAAACATTTCCTGGGATTGAACATGACATGGTGCCGCCTGAGTGTGGCGAAAGTTTCTCGGAGGTCCGACAAATGATCTTTCTGAAGTTTAGACTTGACAATCATATCATCAATATATGCCTCGACATTTCTCCCAATCTGATCAAAGAACACAGTGTTTATCATTCGCTGGAAAGTGGCCGGGGCATTCTTAAGACCAAACGGCATGACCGTGTAACAGTATAACCCCTGATCAGTGACGAAGGCCGTCTTCTCCTGATCTTTCTTCCATAAAGGAATTTGATGGAAACCAGAGTAGGCGTCCATAAAGCTCATCAAAGCATGGCCGACTGTTGGGGTCGACCAGGTTATCAATTTTAGGCAGAGGGTAACTATCTTTGGGGCACGCCTTGTTTAAGTCTGTGTAGTCTACACACATTCGCCAGGTGCCATTCGGCTTTTTAACAAGCACCACATTTGCAACCGAGTCTGGGAAGTAACATTGCCGAATGAACCCAGCTTCAAGTAATTTTTTAACTTCGGCGGCTGCCGCCTGACTTCTTTCTTCGCCATGGTTCCGCTTCTTCTACCGTACCGGCTTCTTTTTCGGATCCACGGCCAGTTTATGTACCGCCAGATCAGGACTAATGCCTGGCATTTCATGGACTTCGAATGCAAAGATGTCCTTGTATTCTTTCAATAGTTTGTGAAAATCGTCACCCAGGTCCCTTAGAGCAGTCGTCCCAACCTTGATTGTTCTGTCAGGACGCGAGTCATCTAAGATCAGGTCCGTATGCTCACCAGCTGGCTGAGGGCGGAATTCATCCGACCGCTCCTCTGCCAATGATTGCTATTTTCTGTCTTTTCTTGCGGCCCCTGTCTGGGATGCCTTTCTCTTCTTGCCGCCTGCTTCTTGAACAGGCGCACTCTCCTTGACATTGTCAAGGTCTATTTTTCCACCGCTCGACATAGTGGCCATAACAGTGGGCTTGACATCCGAGAGATAGCACTCTCGGGCCATCCTCTGATCTCCCCTTAGGGACCCGAATGTTCCATTATCCCTCTCAAACTTGAGCAACATAAGAGATGGGATTATAACAGCCTTGGAATTATTCAGGGTTGGTCGTCCCAGAATCATGTTGTAGGCCGAGAGTTCTTCTACTACCAGGAACCGGACTACCATGTGTCGTCCTTCCCCTTTTTCGCCCAGGCGGATGGGTAAATCCACTCGTCCCACTGGGTGGACGACTCCTCCTCCAAACCCTACTAAAGGGTGGGATGCCGGATGTATGCAATCAGTCTGATATTTTAGTTTCGACAGACATTTGCTACTGATGAGATCTGACGAGCTTCCGGTATCTATGAGGATTCGGCCAACTCTCTGGTTGACCACTTTACATTCAATAACGATAGGGTCGTCATGCGACCCTCTTACCCTTCCTAGATCTTCTTCAGTGATGACAATCTCAGGAAATGAATATTTGGAGGGTCGTTCTTGGTGAACGGAATTTACATCTAACCGTCTGATATTGTCTTTGTTGCCCCTAATAGTGGGGCCGCCTCCTGAGAAGCCGCCTGCAATGGTGTAGACGACTGCATCATCTGTATCGGAGCTGTCGGCCTGTTGATTCTTTTTGGTCGACTGCTTTTTCGAGGAAGTGTTCCCCGTAGATTTCTTGACATAAGTGTCAAGGTCACCTTGCTCAGCCAGGCGGTCCAGATACCGCATGAGAGTGATGCATTCATTGGTGTGATGACCAACATCTTCATGATAATCACAGAATTTTTCTTGGTTCCGATTGTTTGCAGAACCCTTCATGGGGACCGGCTTCTCAATTGAGATCCGTCCCTTGATTTCCTTTAGGATAAATTGGCTATCCTTGTTAAACACATACTTTGGGGAGTATGGTTTGAATTCTTTTTTCTTCTTCTGGGACGGCTGTTTAGAGGAATCAGTTGCCCAGACCTCTTTTCTCTTCTCGTCTTTGTTTGACGACTGCTTCTGTCGTCCTTCTCTTTTGTCGGACCTTTTCCCGTCTGACTGTTTTACCGTACTACAAAGATCAGTCGCCTGTATATAGGCTTCCGCTTCAATCAAGGCCTCTTGAAGAGTCGCCACCCTCTTTTGGACCAAATCAAATTTGAAGGTCGACCCGTCTTTGAGACCTCTGAAAAAGTCAGTATAGGCTACTTCATCCGGTAACCCTTGAATCTGTATTCTCATCAGGTTAAATCGCCTGATGTAAGAACGAAGCCCCTCCTTCTCGCCCTGCTGAATTGTTCCTAAATCAAGGGTCGTCTTCTTCGCAGGGATGTTCATGGCGAAGTTGGAGGTGAATAAGTAAGCAAGCGTCTTGAAGTTATTTACACAACCAGTCGGCAGGTTGCCGAACCATTGTTGTGCGATTCCTTTGAGAGTCGCTGGGAAACACTTGCACCAAGTGGGATCATCCAACCCTTGAAGGTACATCAGGTTGGTGAATGCCATCAGATGGTCTTCTGGGTTAGTAGTGCCGTCATAGGCGCCTACTAATACATTTTTCACTTTGGTCGGCTGAGCGGCTTCAGTAATTTCCTTGGAGAAGGCCGACGGCTGTTCACCAAGTCTAAGCAACCGTAGCTGCCAGTCCATAAGTTGGACATTTTTTGCTGCATGTCCACCAAACGGAGGTGGCTGTAAAAAATACTGTTGTTGCGGTACAAACGGTAAGTTTGGTACCGCCTGGTCGCTATGAAAGCCGGACTGACGGGAGGTGCCGCCTGACTGACCCTCATGATACGACTGAGTATGCCTCATCGAGGTATTTCGCAGACTGTCTTGGAAGTTTGAAGTAGAGGCCGACTCTGAAAATCGGTCACTCTTCTTCTGCTCTAGCAGTAGCCGAACGTCTGTGTATGTTTTCCTCGACCCGTCCGCCTGAATATGACGAACAGGTTTCCTATTTCCTGGAGTAGGAAAACGGTATTTTGTGAAATCAAGGGCAGGTGGCTCCCACTTCCTAGATTTAGGATGAGGGGTCGCCTCTCGCCCTTGAACTGGCTTCCTCTTCCGTGAAGTGGAGGGTTTCTTAGCCGACTGCTCCTTGTCCAGAGCAGGCGGCTTCTTGTTGATCAACTCTTGAATTTCTCCCTTGAAGTCCCTCATGAAGGTCATGAGTTCGTTCCTTGTGATGGGAGCAGACCCATCAGTCGGCTGCTGCCGAACAGGCGGTGCGCCTGCTGGCTCGCTTCCAGTTTGAAGATGTTCTCGTTCCCTCCTTTCGGTATGACGGGTACGTCGGGCCCTTAGGGTCCCGTCTGAAGCTGTGTGAGCTTCAACTTCAAATTCATTCTCAGTATCGTGGTCCGACTGAACTAGAGGATCGTCCAGGGGACGTCTCTCTTCAGGAGCCGGTACAAACGTGGGTGCCATCTCAGAAGTACTCTCCCCACAGACGGCGCCAAAATGTTTCGGGGTTTTCTGATGTCCTGCGGGAAAGTTACAATTCCGAAACTGGAACCGGACGCCTGTACCTGCAAAACAAACGGATGCTCCGGATGATTGGAGATTCGCCTCCGACGGTCAAGTTAGTACTTGATTAAGGAGTAATTAATGCGGAAATTAAAGTGATTGGGTCTCTCTAGGTGAGAGTGTTTTTTGTGTGTAATCTGCGTTTTTTCCCTTAATGAGGATTAAGGGAGGTATTTATAACCTCGGGAAACGTGCCAATCTAGATTTAGGTTAACCTTGGGCTGATTGGGCTTCCCTCGAAAGTTGGGCCTAGGTGACCGGCTTCTCCATTAGGCATGGAGTATGCCACATGTCATGACATAATAAGTCCAGGGTGGACGAATAAGCGTGTGCCACGTGGCAAGCCCTGAGAGGTCCAACTGGGGGACACTTGGCAGGACCTGATTGGCCCACGTGGCGCATTCCGATTGGTGGGAGCAAAATCCCCTAATCAGTACTATTTTACGGAGTACGTCAAAAGTTGACAAACGTCCATAACTAAAAGTAGAAAAATTAAATTGAAAAAAATATTAATTATTCTTTGATCAACGCATGATTATTACGTGCATTCTTAAATTAATACTTCGTATCATTTTAAGAAATATTTTATAATGTTATCTAACTACTCGGGGGCAGTCGTTAGAAAAATCCTTAAGATCAAAATTTGTCTATAACAGTGTCTTTATGAAAGCATAGACCGCAAGCATTTGTTTTTTCCATTTACACAATTTTTTCTTCCCAAAATTGGTGGAATTTGGTTGAATAGAAAGTTTTGTAACATTAAGGTCCTCCTTTTCCTTCAAACTAATTTGTAACCAATTTAATCTAAAACTTAAGATGATGGTTGAAGTCCAAAATCAGTTTATATACTCTATCAGTAACCAACAAAACATGTTGAGCTCCAAATACCATTATACGGATTACTATGTACTTTGTATATAATATATCTGTATATAAGACATTAGTGGTGAATTGAACAAGATACGTCTCCCTGAAACGTTTATTTGGTTAGTGTTGAATATGTATGTGTGTATTGCAGATTAAATGTTTTTGCTAATTACGTTATAAAAAAAATGCAGTGGTTCCCAAATTTACAAGGAGTAGCCAAGGCACAAACTGATGAAGCAAGAGCAGCAGCATTAGAGCAAACTAGTGAAGGGTTGTCATTGCTTGAGGATGCCTTTGTCAAGTGCAGCAAAGGGGAGCCCTTTTTCAGCGGCGGCAGCATTGGATACCTTGACATTGCCCTAGGGTGCTACTTGGGGTGGTTGCGCGTCTCTGAAAAGATGAACAACATTAAGCTGCTCAATGAGGAGAAGACTCCTAACCTCCTTGCCTGGTCTGAAAGGTTTTCTGCTGCTGATGCTGTCAAGGATTTCATGCCTGAGACTGACAAGCTTATGGAGTTTGCCAAGATTATTATGGCTAGGTTCAAAGCAGCTGCTTCTAACTAAAAATTATAGGCATGGTTGTTGTATGATGGCTTCTAAGAGACTAGTATTTCAGCTGGTTGATGATGATATATGGTGTAACTTAAACCTTTTGTACTTGAAGTTTATGCTAGTTTAAATCACTCTTAAAATAAACGTGCTCTATGTTCTTCGGAAACCAAAGTGTTCTATTTCATCAATTGTTCTTTAAACTTTGTAGTCTCTTTTATGAAACCAGAGTATTCTGTTTCATCAATCGTTCTTTAAATTTCATAGTCTCTTTTATTATAAAATTATCCTTATACAAGATGATGTTATAATATTTCACTATGTAGTCTTCTAACAATATATGTAGGAGCAATCCCACATAGAAAGATTAGAGAAGTTTGTGGTGATTTATAATGTAAGTGTACTTTTGGTGATGTTTACATTATACTCATTTGTTTGTTTCCCACGACAAAATAAAATGGGCTTGTAATATTTATATTACCTGGATCATTTTATTTGAGTCCCATATGGATAGTTTAGTTTAGGCATTAAATGTATATAATGGTTTTTTCACCAAGTACCCTTAAGTTTTTTGTTTATTCACCATATATCCTTGAACTTTTTTAAATTCATCATACACCCTCGAGTTTTCACAAATTTGTCGGTCATTAGGGTTAATTATGACCCGAAACTACCCTAAATACATTCCCCTGCCCCCGAAACCACCCACATTCTTTTTTCTCACCCCCAAACTACCCCAAATTTCCTTTTCTCATCCTTAAAATCAATCATACGGATATGGTTATGGAGATTTGGAGAAGTTTCGGAGATGGGGGGAGAGATCTAAGGTGGTTTCGATGCATAATTAACAAAATTTCACTGTTCTTGTTGTCATAAGGGGTATATGATGAATTTTTGCAATAACTCAAGAGTATATGGTGAATTTGAAATTTTTTAAGGGTATATGATGAATAAACAAAAAACTCAGGGGTATATGTTGAAAAAACTGTGTATATAATGCTTGCATTATTCTACATGTTTGAAAATAGGGCAAAGATTATGCATGAGCTTAGTGTTGGTATATGTATTATTTATATCAACAGCACTTAGCAGTTTAGCACTTTGCACGTGCGCGCCGCAGATTGTAATTAACAGGTAAATTTTAATTACATATTTATTTAATTAATTTTTAAATAAATTTGTAATTAATAAGTTAATTATGATAATGGTGTCTGTTGGAGGATTAAGAAGATAAGATTTAAATAACTATATCTTCTTATCTAATCAGTTTTTCTATATATATAAACGTGATTGCTTTTCCCAAACTACATTCTTTTCTTCTCTTCTCTTTTATTTTTTCATAAAAACGTTCATTGAGTGTATATTGATTTTTGCAGTCATAAAACACTAGTATATTAGGGAAATCCCTGGAAGTATCTTTGCCATCTCCCAAGTGCAAATCTAGTGGGGGCAAATAATAATATTTTAAGGACAGTGATTCTTCACGTCCCTTTGATTATTTTCCTAATAGCTGATCCTTCCTTGATATATATGCATCTTTTACTGATTCTTTTCTGTTTCCATTGATTCTTGCATATCTTCTTTGTTCTTGTATCCTCTTGTCTCTTAGTCTGGACATTTCAACCGTTCATTTTTTATTACTACATGTAGGTAAATTGAGGATTCAAAGCGTCTTACGAAGTTGATGAAATTTACTCTGTATTTCTGTAATAAGTATTCATGTTATTTGACTAGCTAAGTTACTCTCAAATTCATCCCCAAATCTATCTATTATTGGCTAATGGCTACTATATGGACGCTTAGGTTATGACTTTATTGACAATTTCGACATATTTAAGATAAAAAAAAATCCTGAAATAAACTCAGGCCAAAAGTTTTGTCAAATAATTTCAAACAAAATCACTTATAAATTTGTTCAAAAAAAAAAAAAAAAAAAAAAAAAAAAAAAAAAAAAAAATTTATAAATAATTTCCGATATTTAAAGATAAAATAAGTGGAACAAAACAAAGCCTAGATCTACTATGCAGAATATGTGGAGTCAAGTAATCAAATTTTGACTTGAGCAATCAATTTTTTTTAAGAATCAAAAGTGGTTATCAAAATAATTTCTGATAGATTAAGCAATCAATTTTGACTTGAACAAATTTAATCATACACTTTTTGACTAAGTCTGATAGATTAAGCAATCAATTTTGACTTGAACAAATTTAATCATACACTTTTTGACTAAGTGATGAATTAAAAATGGTTTGAAGTTTCCATGAAGCTCCTATCCAAGGGAGCCTCAGTTCTTCATCATGAGGAACACTTTTGTTTCTCACAATGACATTTTGAAAAATAATGTGATGTTTTTCACTAGTGGGGATCGCCTATCAATTTTGGGTGGACCTCTCTACTCTTAACACATACTCTATGAGGAACAAAACTTGTTCCTCATAGTGAGGAATAGGGAATTACTCCTCCTATACCACACAATAACAATAATTTTGAAGAGAGATAATCTTCATTTTGATTAAAATCTTAAGATAAAGAAAAAAAATTGGAAATGGCAAAAGAGGTGAAATTGCTGGGATTTTGGCCAAGTCCATTTGCAATAAAACCAAAAATTGCACTTCACTTGAAATCAGTAGATTATGAATATATTGAAGAAACACTGCAATCTAAAAGTGATCTTTTACTTAAAACAAACCCTGTTTACAAAAAAATCCCTGTTCTTCTTCATCATAATAAGCCTATTTGTGAGTCTCTCAACATAGATGAGTACATTGATGAGGCCTTTCCATCTACTCCATCCATTCTCCCGGCTGAGCCTTATGATCGAGCCATCCAACGCTTTTGGGCTGCTTACATCGATGAGGTATTATTTCTTAATTTTGTGATCTACTACATTTTAATGGTTCGAATATCTTTTGTAGATGCATGATTTTCTATTAATGGATTGATTTTACTACTAAAAAAAAAAGTACTCCGTATATGTTTATGATCGTAACTCTTAAATGACTTTGCAAAATCTTGATACATTTTGATGATGCGGATGCATTCAACGTTTCCTTTCTTGGTCCGTTTCTTTAATGTTTCTTAGATTAGATTTTGGCTTACAAGTTTTTACCTTTCACTTGAAAGGGTTTTTCTTGTTTTAAGCATTAGGATTTTTATTTTGATTAGGAATTGTTTTGGTCTAGTGAGTTCCTATTTGAATTAGGACTTGTTTTTAGCAAAGTAAATTCCTAAGTGGATTAGGACTTGACTTTGGTTTTTAGGCGTGTCTAGGTGTTTTAGGAGGATTGAATAACCTAATCTAAGTTGAATTAAACTTAGTTAGTTTAGTCATATCCGAATTAGGAACTTGGGGATCAAGTTTCGGTTTTCTTAGGTTTTCTAGGTCAAATGGGATTCTAATTTAATTAGGATTAGTTTTCTAATTTGATTAGGTTTAGGATTAGTTTTGAGTCTATAAATAAAGGTTGTAAACTTCGAATTATACAAGTTTGTTTTGTTGATTAAAGCTTTATTGCTTGTTAATTTGGAACGTTTCTTTCCAAGTTTTCTTTGTGTTTGACGAGTGAAGTTAAACATAAAAACCCTTAGATTAGGCGAGTGAAACCTGATTTAAGAGAGGTTAGATTAATTAGTGAGTGAAGCTAATTCAAACTATCCTCAAAAAAAACCCCTAAATCACGAGATTAAGGTGAGTGAAGCCTTGAAATCAGATTTAGAACCCTTAGGCGAAAACAAACGAGTGAAGCTTGTTTAAACCTAAGACCAAACGAATCAAGAAACGCATCAAATGGTATCAGAGCTTTTGGTGTGATTATTGAGTCGTTATATCCTTATTCTTGAGCAATCAAGAATCAATTCGTGCTAGTTTCTTGGTTCTTGTTCTTCTCGGCGCAGATCTGGACCAGTTGGAAGTTTTAGGTTACTGCGAACTATATACTTGGTATTTTTCGGTGATTCTTTTTTGGTTGGATTCCTATTGGACTAAAATTATAGACTGTAAAATTTCGTGGTCATTGGATAAGTGACGCAAAATCTACAGCAACAAACATTCGAGGGAAGATTATTGATTGTGCGCAAATATGGTGAGCAAATCAACGGAAACTCACTTGCTTGAAAAGATGGCTTCTTTGATGGAACAAAACATTACTTTTATGAATCATATGAAAGGTCTTGAAGGGGATCATTATGATACATCTCAAGTGCTACTTGGTGAAGGCGTTTGTGCTTCTCTTAGTGCAAAAGATCTCGTTCCTTGTTATGATGTAACTTGAGGACAAGTTCGTTTTCAAGAGGGGGAGTATGATGCGGATGCATTCAACGTTTCCTTTCTTGGTCCGTTTCTTTAATGTTTCTTAGATTAGATTTTGGCTTACAAGTTTTTACCTTTCACTTGAAAGGGTTTTTCTTGTTTTAAGCATTAGGATTTTTATTTTGATTAGGAATTGTTTTGGTCTAGTGAGTTCCTATTTGAATTAGGACTTGTTTTTAGCAAAGTAAATTCCTAAGTGGATTAGGACTTGACTTTGGTTTTTAGGCGTGTCTAGGTGTTTTAGGAGGATTGAATAACCTAATCTAAGTTGAATTAAACTTAGTTAGTTTAGTCATATCCGAATTAGGAACTTGGGGATCAAGTTTCGGTTTTCTTAGGTTTTCTAGGTCAAATGGGATTCTAATTTAATTAGGATTAGTTTTCTAATTTGATTAGGTTTAGGATTAGTTTTGAGTCTATAAATAAAGGTTGTAAACTTCGAATTATACAAGTTTGTTTTGTTGATTAAAGCTTTATTGCTTGTTAATTTGGAACGTTTCTTTCCAAGTTTTCTTTGTGTTTGACGAGTGAAGTTAAACATAAAAACCCTTAGATTAGGCGAGTGAAACCTGATTTAAGAGAGGTTAGATTAATTAGTGAGTGAAGCTAATTCAAACTATCCTCAAAAAAAACCCCTAAATCACGAGATTAAGGTGAGTGAAGCCTTGAAATCAGATTTAGAACCCTTAGGCGAAAACAAACGAGTGAAGCTTGTTTAAACCTAAGACCAAACGAATCAAGAAACGCATCATTTGAGCATTAATCAAGTGACTCAACGGAGCTCAAAAGGAGTAAAGTTTTTTGTATGATTTGATTGTTTGGTTAGTGTTGATTAGGGGTGTTCATATCCGGGTAGTTGATAAATCGGCCCGTGTCCCGTACCCGAATTATCCAGGACGGGACACGGGTACCCGGATTCTATTTATTTATTTTTTTTAAAAAAATTTATACCTAAAATATGTTGTATTCTTTATGGGAAAATCTGCTATATATCTAATAAAAAGCATGCTGTATTTTTTTTAAGAAAAAAAAACTGCTGTAATTAAAAAAAAAACTGCTGTAATTTTTAAAAAAAAAAACCTGCTGTAATTTTTTTTTTAAAAAACTGCTGTAATTTAAAAAAAAAAAAGCCTGTTGTAATTTAAAAAAAAAAAAGTTCTGTAATTTTTTTTATAAAAAACTGCTGTAAAAACTGCTGTATTTTTTTTTTTTTTAAAAAAAAAAGCCTGCTGTAATTTTTTTTAAAAAAGCCTGCTGTAATTAAAAAAATAAAGTTCTGTAATTATAAAAAAAAAAACCTGCTGTAATTTTTTTTTAAAAAAGCCTGCTGTAATTTCAAAAAAAAAAAATCTGTAATTTTTTTTAACGGGTATCCAGGTACCCGAGTTTAGCAAAGCTTGTCCCATGTCCCGGCCCACGAAATTATTATTTTACCGGGACGGGAACCCGACACAAAAAAAACAGAAAATTTTGAAAATTTCCCGTCGGGTATTTTACGGGTCATCGAGAATTCGGGACGGGACAACCGGGTCGGGTTTTTTTTGAACACCCGTAGTGTTGATCAATATAGACAACTAACGTCTGTATTGCAAGTTAAATATTTATGTACATTTGTTACCAAACATGTAGTGGTTCCCAACATTTCGTGAAGTAGCCCTCGCACAAAGTGAGGAAGTAAGAGCAGCAGCAATAGAGAAAGTGAAAGAAGGGCTGTCATTGCTTGAGGATGCCTTTGTCAAATGCAGCAAAGGGAAGCCTTTTTTCAGCGGCGACAATATCGGGTACCTTGACATTGCCCTGGGGAGCTACTTAGGGTGGTTATACGTCTATGAAAAACTAAGCAACATTAACGCGCTCAACAAGGAAGAGACGCCTAGCCTCCTCACCTGGGCTGAGAGGTTTTCTGCTGCTGATGCTGTCAAAGATTACATCCCTGAGGTTGACAAGCTTATGGAGTTTGCCAAGATTATTATGCCTAGGTTCAAAGCAGCTGCTTCTAACTAAAGCTAGATGGCTATTATAAGAATAGTATTTCAGCTGGTTGATGATGATACATGCATGATATATGCTAGTTTAAATTATTCTATTTCCATAAATTTCTCCTAAACTAAACATGCACGAGTTTATTTATAATAATCATCGGTTTTTCATTTGACCTTTCATTTGTTTGGTTTAACCATGAAAATGGATAATTTAAACTAAACTAAACCTGACAAATGGGTTGTTCGGGTCGGGTACGGGTCGAGTCAATTTCAGATTGGGTCATTTCGGATCAGTTAACATTCGGGTCGGGTACGGGTCGGGTCATTTCAGGTTTCGAGTATGACTTGGGTCAGGTAACAGGTTAAGTTCGGTGCGTGTCAATTTCGGGTCGGGTATGTTCGGGTTAGACCATTTTCAGGTCAAGTATGTTCGGGTCATATTCGGGTCGGGTCAAAAACAGGTTTGGTCATGTTCGGGTTGTTCCATTTGTGGATCAAGCTCAATTCAATAATTTTATATTTTGTTATTGTTATAATAAAAACTATCAATTCGGTTTATGAGATTGCTATGGTTGAAGATGAACAATTTGAGTTATTTTTGACACTAGACATTTTTATTTCAATTATAAGATAATTTTAGTTCGGGACATTTCGGGTCTACTCGGGTCAATTTTGAGCATCAGGTTTGTTCGGGTCAAATATTTCTAGTCAATTTCGAGTCGGGTCAACATTCGGGTCGGGTCAGTTTAGGGGTCAGGTCAGGATCGGGTCAACTCCATTTTCGGGTTGGGTATGGGTCGGGTCGGGCCAATTTCAGGTCATGGGTCGAGTCATTCAGGTCGGGTGATCGGGTCTGGGTCAGGAATGCCAGGTCTAAACTAAACCCACTTTCTTACATTTTTGTTTGAGGTGGGTAAGTATAATTGTTACCTTATGTTTAAGAGAGGTAACAAATTAGTGAAAATCATGGATTACTGTTATTAGATAGTGGTAATTATTACTGAAACCTTCTAACTAAATACTTGATAATAATATGGTTTAATTTAATCTATTTCTAACTTAAAAATCCTTACTAAACATGCTCTTAGAGTGTTTGTAATAGAGAATATACACAATTACAAAAGATATTCTTTTTTGACACAAACAAACAATATTCTTCGACTATGAGAGAACATCCTATTGGAAAATCATTCACAAAATTTGAGTTAAGCATACTATTGGGACCTAAGTTTCACAATTTTTATCGTTTGGGACCTATCTTTTAATTTTGCATTGTTTGGGACCTCTATCCAAACTTCCGTCCAAGTTTGGTTAAAATAACCCACTTTTTTTAAAAAAAAAGTGGGCTCACATGAGTTAAAAACCCAAAAATAATACGGAGTACTTTTACTGTATTTGCAATTCTTTCGTGGGATTTGAGCATCTGTTGAACTTCTTCTAAAGTTGTTCAATATTCATCCTCTGTTAAAAATATTGATCTCTTACTAGCAATAAGCAAAGAATTCTATAGGTATACTACTTCTCCTTGTGTTTTTATTTCAAAAAAGCATATGAATTGATTTCCTTTTTAGTGGGTTTTGACTTAAAGGGATTAATTTTAGGGTTTTGATATTGAATTACAGAAAACGAAATTAAGGGTGTAAAAAATAAATTATTTGCATTTTCACTATCATTTTGCTTGGTAAATCGCAATGTTAATGTTTGTAATCTACAAATTATGTTTGATAATGGAGTACGGTTCAATGTTAAGGCCTTCATATACTTACGTAATTGAATTAATCTAAATGAATTGATTTACGGAGGAAAAATTAATGTATTAGCATTCCACTATATTAATCTTGTCAAAGTATTTCCAAATTGATATATATATATATATATATATATATATATATATATATATATATATATATATATATATATATATATATATATATATATATATATATATATATATATATATATCTATCTATCTAGGGGAGGGATGCGGAAAAATTAATGTATTAGCATTCCACTATATTAATCTTATATAAGAAGCCTACTTATATAAGAACCAATCTCAACCGTAGGATTAGATTGGGATGAGCGGTCAGGATTAAAACAAAATAAAAACCATCTTTCCTAAAAAAAACACGACCCTAACTTTCTCTCTCTTCAATTATCGTAGTAGTTCATGACTTTCTCTCTCCTCAAACTCCCAAAAATCTCCATAGAAGCTGCAATTTGAAGGATTTTCAACATTTTTCCTTCATTTTTTTGCATAAATTCAACATCAAGGATCATAAAATAAGTCAAATTGTTCAATAAAAGTACAAATTTTGGCGATAAAGTCTTAGATTTCGCAATTTTCAAATTCAGGTACATATTCCTTCGATTTCGTTAGATATTTATTGCTTATGTGCATTATATGTTCGAAAACATTGTTTTCGTCTATACATTGTTTTGGACATGTTATTTTGTTCTTCAATTTCAGTATATTTTTTTTGCAATTTCGTTAGATTTTTTTGATAATTTCATTGTGGACAGAGAAGGCGGCAGAGTATCAACGAGAAAATGAAAGCACTGCAAAAATTGATTCCCAACTCCAATAAGGTGCTACTAAAACTACTTATAATTATTAATTATTTTTCCATTTTATCAATGTTTTTTACTACAATATTTTATTTTATGGCAGACGGATATATAAGGCTTCAATGTTGGATGAAGCTATCGAATATTTAAAACAGCTTCAGCTGCAAGTTCATGTGTGTTATCTTACAAAATTTGAAGATTGTATATTTTATGCAGAGGATTTGAAATACAAGTACAATGTATTTCCTGTCGTCACTTAGTTTAATTGATTAGCATTATTATACTTCGTATCAATGTTCTAAATTACATGTTCGATTATGTTCATGATCATGTTCTAAATTTAAGCGTCGTATGTTCTAAATTTAGGTGTTGTATGTTGTAAAGATGTTATGGGCTGGGTGCGGTATGCAGAGGAAGTTCAGGGGAGATCCTTTGGTGTGATGTGTTCCAAAGCTTAGAAAAGTGGGAATCGAGGGTGGGGGAAGCCAAGGCTGTTTTCTAGGGGCTGCATATGGGGAAGGAGACTGAAATGAGGCGTTTGGTGGTGGAGAGTGATTGTCTAAGTGTTATCGAGGCACTACGCAACAAGTCAGAGACTCAGAGGTGTTGAGTTCCTTGCATTTGGTTTTAGATGATACTCCTTTGTTCCTCCACTTTTCATTTTCGGCCGTATTAGAGTATTAAAATAGATTAAGTAATTAAAAATCGGATGAAATATTAAAATTTTATGTTCTGAATTCTGATGCTTAGATTGGTCTTTTGTGAAAAAACGTGGAAATAATGTAACACATGATATGGCTTACTTCCAACCTCAGGAGCCTGGCAACGATCGTGGAACGATGTAAAAAATTTTAAACATAGGAAAAAAGAAACTTTAGAACATAAGTAGACTAAATTTAGAACATAGGAAAAAAAATTTAGCACATAGGTAAAAGAATATTTTAAACATAGGAAAAAAAAAACTTTAGAACATAGGTAGAAAAAATTTAGAACATGGGAAAAAATTAGAACATAGGTTGAAAAAATTTAGAACATAGGAAAAAAAAAAAAAAAAAAAAAAACTTAGAACATAAGTAGACTAAATTTAGAACATAGAAAAAAAAAATTAGAACATAGGTAAAAGAATATTTAGAACATATATATATATAAAAAAAATAAAAAAAATAAAAAATAAAAAAACTTTAGAACATAGATAGTAAAAATTTAGAACATAGGAAAAAAAAAATTTAGAACATAAGTAGACTGAATTTAGAATATAGGCAAAAGAATTTAGAACATAGGTAAAATAATATTTAGAATATAAAAAAAAAAAACTTCAGAACATAGGTATAAAAAATTTTGAACATAGGTTGAAAAAATTTAGAACATAGGAAAAAAAAACTCTAGAACATAAGTAGACTAATTTAGAACATAGGAAAAAAAAAATAAGAACATAGGTAAGAGAATATTTAGAACATAAAAAAAATAAAATAAAATAAAATAAAATAAACTTTAGAACATAGGTAGTAAAAATTTAGAACATAGGAAAAAAAAACTTTACAACATAAATAGACTAAATTTAAAACATAGGCAAAAGAATTTAGAACATAGGTAAAAGAATATTTTGAACATAGGAAAAAATTAGAATATAGATTAAAAAAATTTAGAATATAGGAAAAAAAATTAAAACTTTAGAACATAAGTAAACTAAATTTAGAACATAGGAAAAAAAAATTAGAACGTAGATAAAAGAATATTTAAAACATAAAAAAAAATAAAAAAAAAACAAAAAACTTTAGAACATAGGTAGTAAAAATTTATAACATAGGAAAAAAAAAACTTTACAACATAAGTAGACTAAATTTAGAACATAGGCAAAAGAATTTAGAACATAGGAAAAAAAACTTTAGAACATAGGTAGAAAAAATTTAGAACATAGGAATAAAAAACTTTAGAACATAAGTAGACTAAATTTAGAGCATAAGAAAAAAAAAATTAGAACATAAGTAGACTAAATTTAGAACATTGAAAAAAAAATTAAAACAAAAGTAGACTATATATATATCAAACTTTCTCTCACAAAGTACTCTAACATTAATATTTTGTCCTGTACTGCCAGTGAGTGGATCATTAAAATTCGTTGTCTTTTCCTCATTACACTTTACTGTTGCTGTTGATCTTGTCCCTTGCTCTTTTGTTTGTGCCTCCTCTCGTATACCCGAATAGGTGGTTGCTGGTGTGCGTCAACTCGTTCCATAGCAATATTCTGTTCAACAATTCCTATGTTCTAATTTTAGAACATTTGCAATAAATTTTAGAACAAATTCAGTAAAATTTAGAATATATGTTAAAACCTTTTAGCTCAATTGGCAGAGCACTATGCAAATGCATAGAAGATGTAGGTTCGATTCCTACATAGGTTAATTCTAAAAATAACTTTAAAAGGAAAATTAAATTAGCTCTAAGTTATATTTTGTACAAGAATAAATTGGTTGATATGATTAACGACTATGGAAACTTTGTTACAACTTAACTCACATACAAACTCTTGTCTCCACACTATGAAAATGAACCTACGTGGGATTTGAACCCACATCTTTTGTGCATTTGCACGATACTCTACCCGTTGAGCTAGTAGGCTAATGTATATAAAGCATTTAAACTAAAAAAATTACTAAAAAGATAGACATTAGGTTAGCTTATACTGTCATTAGCAATCCTTTAGTACACATTTTGGGAGGACAAAGACTATCCCATGTTAAGACTAATGCTAACCAAGCAAGTTTTGACAAAAATATGACTAACAATAAAGGGTAATGCTTAAATTAGAAAGTATACTCATAATCGATATGCATATCATGTGAGGTTGTTTGAGAAGAGTATACCTGTAGTACTCACATGATATGCATAGTGATGATATAGTATGCCAAAGTGTGCAAGTAATCAAAGTCATATTCTATTTTCAAGCCTATTTACAAATGGTACACTACAGGCCAATAAATTTTATAGAGAGAATGAGTATAGGCCAATCAAAGTCATATTCTACTTTGTGTTCTAAATTATGCACTTATTATCTTGTCAAAAAAAAAACTATGCACTTATTATAATAATTACCCCAAGCATCCACATGTCTACATCTCCATCATCAAAATTCCCCCAAGTAGAACCCATATACAAGAATAAAATTTGGAACAAGAAACCAACCAGGCAACTCTCAAGTAATCAATAGGATACTGACTTGTCAAAGTCTCAAGTAATGAGCATTCATCAGTTACCACTTTCTAACACTACAAATTTTGTAATCCACATTATTAGAGTACTATTTTTAATTCGCACATTCTTTCATCAATTCCTATGAAATCACTTTATATCGTAGAGCTTATATTTACATAGTAATCAATAATTTCCACACTTTAAAAACGACATATAAATATCATAAGCAAGACACGACTGACGACTCTGTATGTATACATCAGATAACCCAA